GACGGCCAGCCGCTCAACATGCAGGTGAGGCGCCCCGCCGTCTGGGAGGCTTCCTGGGAGCCCTGCCTGCCGGAGCCTCCCGGCCCGGCACTGTCCTCCTGCCCCAGCCTGTCTGCAGGCTGCAGTCCTGTCTCCAGCACCTGCTCGAGCAGGGCTGTAACCCCTGCCAGCCACCCCCTCTCTGCCCCTCTGTCAGCCCCTGTTCTCCCCTCACCACCACCCTCCACACAGGCTGCAGAGTCTTTGGATAGTTTGAAAGCCTGGAGGTATGAGAGGCAGGTGTCCCCCAGCTCCCCCCCAAAAAGCCCAAAAAACCAAAACCAAAAACAGCATCTCCTGGGGAGTGGCACTTGCTGCAGGGCAGGGCAGGGCAGGGCAGGGCAGGGCATTGGACCTGACCTAGCAAAACCCTGCAGTGCAGCAGGGCCCCGGGCACCCAACCTAAAAAGAAGTCTTGCCTGCCCCTTGCTTCAGGAGCTGAAAGAATCTGCCACAGAACTCTTGTTCGGGGGCCACGAGACGACTGCCAGCGCCGCCACATCTCTGATCACCTTCTTGGGGCTTCACCCAGAGGTCTTGCAAAAAGTGAGAAAGGAGCTGCAAGGGAATGTGAGTGTCTTCTCCCTCCAGTACCTGGGTCTAGACTGCAGATGAAGCTAAGTTATTGTACTGTGTCCTCCTGAGAAGGAGGGGGATGAACTCCAGCAGGCCAGATAGTAAAGCGCTTGCTCTTTAAAGTTAAGGTGTCCTTTAAAACAACTCATTAGCAAGAGGGAGCTGAATTTTCTGAACTGAAATAATAGATATGATGAAAGTCTCTTTTTGGAGCCCTTTCATGTGATAAAGAAGAAGCTGCTGCCCAGTTTGTCCCCCACTGCTGACTGGCACTGCAGGCCCAGCTGCCACAAACCGCCATGCATATCACATTGGCATCTTCCTTTCCTTAGGGGTTATTGTGCAGCCCAAACCAAGATAGCAAACTGCTGGATATGGAAGTCTTGGAACAGCTGAAATACACAGGCTGTGTCATCAAAGAGACCCTCCGACTGAGCCCACCTGTTCCTGGAGGATTTAGAGTTGCACTCAAGACATTTGAGTTAAATGTAAGCTGTGCTGCATAGGCTTCCTGCTTGCAAAATCCCTTTCTCATAATAATATGAAATAATTTCATAACAATTTTCACAGAATTCCTAAGGGGGATGGGATCTTGATTTCTTTGTAAAGCCTTTCCACTCTTTTCCTGCCTCTGAGCTGAAGGGCAAAACTGTAGTCGCTGCATAATGAGGTATTTCTTACAACTCTCTTTCTTCTTAATAGGGTTACCAGATTCCCAAAGGCTGGAACGTTATTTACAGTATCTGTGATACACATGATGTGGCAGAACTCTTCACCAACAAGGACAAATTTAACCCTGATCGCTTTATGTCCCCTTCTCCAGAGGACTCCTCTAGGTTCAGTTTCATTCCTTTTGGTGGGGGCGTGAGAAGCTGTGTGGGCAAAGAGTTTGCAAAAATCCTTCTCAAAATATTTACAGTGGAGTTGGCTCGTAACTGTGACTGGCAACTCTTAAATGGCCCCCCAACAATGAAAACTGGGCCTATAGTGTACCCTGTGGACAATCTGCCTGCCAAATTTGTAGGCTTCAGTGGCCAAATCTAAGCAGTTCAGGGATTGCTTCTAGCTGAAGTTCTGTACATAGCAGTATTTTCTTGTAAAAAAGTCTATTATGTATTTAACTTGTAAATGTATAATAGTTATTTATGTCTCTTTTAAAATATTTTTTAAAAGCTATGATGTATCCTATTTTAATGGTGTCTCTGTGTGTGTGTTTTGCCCCTTGTCCCCCAAGCACTATAATTATGGGTCTCAGGTTCCATAATTAGATAACTTATTTCTATAGAAATGTTTTCCCCTATCATACTGAAATCTTGTCATCTTAGCATTTAATGATATTTCAGAACAGGGCATACATTGAGGTGCACTCAGATTCATAATACAGGCATATTAAATCATGGTAACTAATTGCTCATCCAGAATTCATGCAGGCTTGTATGAATTAGGATGTTTTCAGTATTACTTTTGATATTTAGGATTTATGGTCAATGTATATGAATTTTTCAGACTACAATAAAGTCTATTTTTTAAGACTCTTTGTTCAGAGTATTTGTAGCACTCTGCATATGTTACTAACTTTTAAGTTAAGTGGTGATCAAAAGGACTTGAATGTCGAGTTGGGTTTTAGCTTCTATCCTTACTATACATGCGACTCTCTCAACAGATACAAGTCAAAATAGTTCATTTGCTGAAGGCAAGGAGTTTTGTGAGTGATTTTTTTTTTTATTGGACCAGCTACATGGTTGGAATAAACATAAACAAGCTTTTGAATGCTGTGCAGTCTTAAGGTCATCTGGGATAGACTTAGACAAGGTGACCTAAAGAAGAATGTATTGCGTTCAGAAGCCCGTCTAAGTCTGTTCCAACTATGCAGTTGATCCCATAAGAATTTCTGTGATATCTCTTATCTTATTGATTTCCTGGGCTATCATGGCTACAAATTCATTTGCTGAAGATGCTGAGGTTTAGCCTAAGTTTCTCTAACAAATAAATATGACTGAGACTTTCCTAATTTCCTCATTTTCCTAATTTCTTTATCCAGTAATCTTTAGAAGAGTTGGGCTAGGCAAAAGATGGCAGAATTTCAATTAAAAAAACCCCCAAACTAACCAAAACTATATATAACATACTAAAACCCCTAGGGAATTAGAGGAGGTAACACAGGTCCTTTCCTACCTGGTTCAACATATGGTAACATACTGAAGTCTAACCCTGAAATACACTAATCCAGAAGATAAAGGTGAGGAGAACCCACATAGCAAAAACGGACTTTTTGCCTAATCCAACATGATCATTGCTCTCTAGCCAGGGACAAAAATGTATTCAAGGTAAAACATCTTCAGATTTCAATTCTTCTCCCCCTGTGTTAAACTAATAAATAATTTTATTTGCAGTCTAAAATCTGGTCTAGAACATTTTCTGTCATTTGAAAATGTCAAATAGCAACTGTTACAGCAAACAAGCTACTATGTGGGGGCGGGGGGAGAGGAGGGATGTGGTTTTGTGTTTGGTTTTATTTTTAAATATGATGTGGATCACGATTGTTTTTTAAAGGAAATAGCCTTAAAATATCTTATCTAAGAACTTTCCTGAACTTTTTTTAATTGATGTAGGAGGTAGGGCAATTTAGTATTTAACACTGACTCAAATTCTGTGAGATTTGCACTGTTACTGTCAGGAATAAGCAGGACAGATAAAAATGCAAGCTACACATGTCAATTACACAACTGAAAATTTATTTTTGATCACAGATTAAAGTGACCAAAATTATCATTCTGTAAGAAATAATTTGTAGCCAAACTGTCTTATTACAAAGTTTTATTAATCACTTTTATTTTCTAATATTCTTCGTATAAAAATTGTTCTTTGTCAAGACTTCTCAGATACTGCATTCCAAATTTTAAATTGTTATTGCTTCATCCAGTGTTTGGGCATGCTTTGCTTTTATGCCATTGCATCTTTTACAATATGTTGGCAATATAGCCCCTTTAAGGCCACAAGTGTTATTGGTACAAAGAAGAACCAGTTTATGATTGCAAGCACTTTGCACATTCTGTGCAGTTTTATGAAATGCAAAGGCAGCTGTACTCTAAAATAACAGCATTGTGAGAGTCATGATAACTATTGCCAATAGAAATAGATTACTATATTCTGGAAATTAGTTTGTTTTTTAACTCAAGATTCATGCTATTCTTGTTCGTGGGGTGTAGGCCAATATAAAGTATTGTTCTGTAATAGGTGTACTTGATACCATTTTTTTTAGCCAAGTGTCAGCCATTCAGGATGTTCTTATAAACAGTGGCAACTTTAAGCACTGAAGTTATATTTGGAGTATAAAAGGCTGTATGAAGTTATAATCTTGAGGTTGCATTGGCAGTATAGCAGCAATTTTTCTGTTTGATTTTGTTTCACTGAAGGTCCAGTTTTTATATTTGGATATAAGAATGTGTAGCTGTCTTGCAGACTTACAGCAGATGCTCAGCTGGTGAGATTTGTTACTATATCTCAGCAGCCATACAACAATTATCATTGTAACTAAACAGTGTGGTCAAGAGGTAAATCTTCCAAAAGCAGCCAAGAGCATGTCAACACTGCGTTTGTTGCCATTATTTAATAAATGGAACATTGAAAAGAGTATATAAGATAGTAAGATTTTCCCCCTATCTTCAAGATCGGAAGTAATCAAGAAAGATCAACCAAGAGCCTTTCTGTACCATGGCTGCAATGTAGCGTAGACTTTCAACTAGCTACCTCAGAGACAGGTAGCAGTCCAATCATGACAATCAGTGCAGACTGACTGACTATGTGGCCAGGTTCTTGGGCATGTTTTGCAGTCTGCATAGTTTCATTCACTACCATTTACACTAGTGCCCAAGCTATTTAGTCTAAGCTAGTTGGAATATGACTACTCCACAGTCCTAGGCTCCCAGCTGTGTCCACTGTAGATGTACTTGGCCAATTTTCAAAAGTGCCTAGTCCTTCTAGGTGCTGAAGCTGAGATCCATTACAGGAGCTTGATTCAAAGGGTGGATGCTCAGCCCTTTCTAGCGATCAGTCCTTTTTAGATCTCTCATGTTAGGAATCTCAGTTAGCTTGTCACTTTGAAAACCTTGGTCTATGTATAATTTAAACATATAGATGATCAAACAGGCACTATACTTTGACCTAGAAATTAAAAGCTGTGCTTACTTTATAATCAGCACGATGTTGATTTTCCAACTGTAACATGGACAAGTGGAAACACCTCTTTAACATACGTAAAATAAAACAGCAGTTTGGCAGCATTTTAAATGTTTGAAATGTCTTAAGTCTCTGTGTTATGCTAAACAAAGTGTTTCTTATTAACAACATTCAAATATGTTAATTTGTGAATAAATATGGCATTGAAAAGTGTCACAGTAGCTGACATTAAAGAACATAATTTGATTAACTGCATTCTAATAAAATTCAGCCACATTTTTTGCTAAGATCATTACAGGTAATGTTGACTTTCAAAATTAGTATGTGACCAAACAAAAACTATTCAGACTTGCTGATTCCTACAAACTGTATTGTAATGAGAACTATTGTTTAATTGAAAAGACTTTCTGTGTACTGATTTCCATTTGCCCTAGTAAAATTACACAAATGTCATATAATTTTTTTTCTTAGCTGCACTGTAACAATGATTTTTATTTGCTACTTTATGTAAGAAAAAACAAAGAAGCTAGAACACTTAAAACATCTCTGTGCTTGCTTCTGATTCATTTTCTTATGTCCTTTATATATATATGTGTATATATATGTATATGTATATATGTATATATATGTTCTTAGATTGGCTTGGTTTTCACACTGTCTTCTATATCAAATGTCTTTTAATATCATTCCTTTCAATGACTTAGACTGGCTTTTTGAGAGATACTGAGAAAACTACTTAGTGTTTTATAGAATAAAATAATGACAATCAATGCAGACTGACTGACTGACTATGTGGCCAGGTTGTTGGCCATGATTTTCAGTACACAGAGTTTCATGCACTTCCAGTTACACTAGTACCCAAGCTAACTAGTGTTTCAAAGAAATTAAAGCACCTAAGTGCCAAATGCTCAAATCATGGGAAACAGGCCTATTTCTTAAAAGTATTTACAAGTTTAATACTTTAAAAAATCCAATGATAGATCACTTTTGAAAAGGAGATGTTGGTCACTTTTAAAAATATTCATTAGCAGCATTAGCAAGAGGAAGACTACTAGATTTTATCACAGCAGATTTAGGATAACATTTAAAAAGCTTTGTACTTCAAATAGTCCACTAGGTCCATATTTTAACTTTAAATTTAGACATGATTTTTGAGTTATTGAGACTGCATCTGCTACTGGTTTCAAAGGAATCTGCAGTTCCTAGCACCTCTGAAAATCAAGCTACTTTTGTTTTGATCCCTAAATAAGCATTTAGGAGCCTGACTGCAGGTCACCAGCTTTGAAAACGTTGGTCTTAATAATACACAACTGTTCTTATTTAGCTTTGCTAATAGAGGATAGTATGGTGATATATTTGGGTTTTGTGCATTCACTCTTGTAAGTTAGAGAAAAGATTGAACAACGCATGCCTGCACACATGCCTGAGAAATATCAATAAAAACTTGTATCAAATTTTATTCCAAGCATATTATGCCAATGTTTCAGAAATTAAAAAAAAAATGATTGCAAACATTGGCTTTGGTGTAATGAACTGGTGTATACTGGTTCATAGATCATGTTCCACACCAGAAGTGGTTACTCTTATTCTTGCTTGAAAGTCACTGTGTTAATGCATATTTATTCTCCCCCCTCCCCCCCACCCCCATTACAAGAAAGTGTGTAGGGTTCAATAACATGTGTGAATACCAAGAGGTTTTTTTTTGCCAGGTGGTCTCTTGTAAGTTCTCTGTGTCAAGTTATACATCCAGAATACAGTGCAAAACATATACAGATTAGTAGCAGAGAGTTTCGAAGTTTATTAATTGCAACCATTAGTGTGATAGATTAGGAGTAAGGAAATGCAACTGGCAGCAAGTTTAGAAAAGGCTCATTACTGAACTGGCTTGCCTTAGCTTGTTTAATAATATCGTATGAAAAATGTTATATGAGAAGTTTGATGAAGAATGCAGTCTCATTAAGTAATGTAAATTAATGTAACTTTGTGGGTGGGTTAGAGAGAAAATATTTAACAAATCTGTTTATATCCAAAGAATAGAGTCACATAGACAGTTTTTAATGAGTCTTGGATTAAAATATTTAAAAGGTAGACAGGAGAACGTAGATACTTCTGTCAGATGACAGTAGTACTGTTTTGATAGACTTTTACAAATACCCTCTCAACTGCAGGATAAGTAGCTAACATTTTTCACTGAATAAGGGTTTGGTGTGCTCCTTTATTATCAACATCATTGTTACACTTGTGGCTTTTGTGTAATTTTAGTACCATTAGATGCAGTTTCTATAGTTTGTAATACTAACAAGGATAGAGCAGTCATTTTAGCAAAAGTGTATTTTCATATACTCATGTATGT